ACAAACGGCTAACATTTTTACAAACGATATTTCGGTGATCGGTAAAAAATGTTATGCGAATCGATTAAAAATCAAGAGAAGTTTGATTGCACTGGGCTAGTTGAACATTTTGTGAGAAAGTCGTTAACTTCGATGCATTTTAATGAACTGTTATCGAAATATAATAGCATCCAATCGATTGCCAACTGTTGGGTGTTGCGCGTGTTTAACGCGTTTAATTGCGGCAATTGAAATGAGTTGTTATGGCCCTTATACTTATACTCTCACTCGGTTCGACCTCATTTCGACTCATAGGGGGTTATATCATTACCAGCTGTTCACGTAACGATAATAATCATTGTTGAAGTTTTTGTTCTTCAGAACTGTATCAGTTACTTATATAATACAATATATCTGTTGATTGCAGGTAAAAAATAATAATTAATGTACGTGCCTGGCATATTGAGCACTCTTTGAGTGCTAATGGCTTTACTTAGACAACTTTTGCGAGTAAATTACAAATTGATTCCGTGCACATCCCAAGTATACCAAACAACAGCGCAACAACAACAGAAACAAAAACAAAAACAACAACAACAACAACAACTACAACTACAATGCGCAGATATCATTTCACTGTAGTGTACGCGGCACGTGTCTAAAAGCGTTTAATATAATATATTGTTATCATTTCGTGTGTGTCCTCAACTGCTCCGAAAGTTGCAAAAGTAAACTTATCAAACATACATTCGATTCATTAATAAATCATCGACGAGCCAAGTGATCTGTACGAATAAAACATATTAAATAATAATAATAATATAATACAATCCACGTCTGGTAGATTAAGAATCTAGGACGTTCTCGACTTGTCACCCAATTCGTTGGACATTTGCCACTCTGGACACAGAGTCTCTCCACCACTCAAATAACACGACGTATACAATTTATTAATGTACTTATATGTATTATAATTTATTTATGAGCATGACACTTTTGGTTTTATTTTATATTTTACCCTTTTGGAAAGTATCTAAGTACTTCTGGCATTTGTCATTCCGCTGTCCTGGGTGCCACCGTTTTGCTAGGCTGAGGAAGCAGACATACGGGAAGGGGGAGGTGAAATGTGCAAAATATATTACAAATACCATTACATAATCATTAAATGTATGGAATGTACACAATAAAATCTCTACGAGTAGTTTATATTGTACATTGGAGATGTAAAATAGTGAGGAAAAGTAGAGTGTTTCACAGGGTTCTGTAAAATAAGAAAAATAATCAAAACAAATTATCAATTAAACATTTATTAGTGATTTCTTTCTCTATATAAACATTTGTTTTCGTTATGAAAATATGAATTATTGTAAAATCAATTTTCACATGTGAAAACTATTATATATTATATAGTATGGTTTAAGGTTTTGACTTTTAACATCATGCATGTATAGTAAATTCACAATTTATATTTTTTTAAGAGTTTAGCGACGTAACACTAGTTTAACGTATATAATATATATATATATATATTAGGTATATATAATATTAAATGTTATTGTAAATATATTAGTGCATTACACTATTGCTACTTTTTATTTTCATAAAATATAGAGACACGTATATAAAATAAAATTTATCACGAGTAAGAATATATTATATTAAAATCAATAAAATCTAATACATATTATACTTTTAAATGCTTAAAAAAAAATTATAATTATAATAATAATAATAGTTTTACAAAGAACAATAAAGTCGAATGCTAAAAACGAACAAAACAAATTGTAACATTTCCTGAAAAACGGTTTCCACGTAATAATAATACACTTGCGCATCGGGGAAATAGGGAAAAAATAGGACGTTGATTTTATTTTTTGTAACTCTCGAAGCATACACGATCAATGCTCCATCATTGATCACGTTTTGACTCAGTTTTTACACGGTCATCGCAAATAATGATAAGATTAAAGTGTTTGTGATTATGGACGTGCCCGGATACGATGTATTAACTTAATAATACAATTTTTTTTCCGTATGTATCGTAGCAATTTACCGAAACGTGTCAAGAAGATTTGACTCGATTTTTCAGAGCTCCTAACTGAAATCTATGTCAGTGCGTTTGGAGTACATATATACAGCGGCGCCAATTCAATATTCACGCCAAGGCCCGTCTACAGATATTCGTAGGTTTTTTCGAGGTGGGAGGGGGGTCAGAGATTATTTTTGTTTGGAGCAGACACAATAGTCCTTTTGGATAATAATACCAAAAATAAATACTTTTCGTTGAAGGATAATATATTTTTCAACTTCAGAGAATTGCATGCACTCCATATAATATAGCAACAGAAGTTGACGATTAAAACATTGCAGGCTCATTTCAATGGAAACGTTTTGATTTATGACGGGAAAATGTTCGAATAACAATAATCGCGATCGAACGTGATCAAAAGACACACGATACAGAGTAATAGAGGTATATTTGACAGAGAAATAAAAAACGGTCTCTCGTTCAGAAGAGATTAGGTATATCCGCGGGTGCACAATAAACATTATTATTTAATGTTCTATAAAAAAAAATACACTGCGTGTATATGGATAAATTATATGATATTTTATGTTAACCGATGTTTATTTACCTCGAGGAATTTGGCGTTTTAAGGACCAAAAATAAAGGTATATAATATGTTATATTATGATTACGGCGAGGAGAAGACGACGTCGAGATAAAAAAAAAAAAAAAATGAAAAAAAGAAAAATACAAGTTCCACTCGGCGGGTTCTAAAACGTCGTCCCTCGCAGTCGTATAACACGTAAAGGTCTTTAGCCCGCCGCACTCGCGATCGAGGAGTGCAATAAAGGTACGTCGAAATCCCTCAAACGACCCTCCCCCCCAACCATCTACAACCCTCATCGAAGACGCGTACTTTGGCTAGGCTCGGTCAGACGAAAATCTGGTACGGGGGCGGCGTCTGTCGAGGCTCAAGGATATCGTCGTAGTGGGTTGGATATAATAATAATATATCCACAAATGCGCGGGGGGGACGGCCGGCGGGGGTGGGGAGGACTTACCTAATAAATATTCAAAGTATATTATGTTGTTCTCGACGTCAGATTCTGGTCGTAAAAACCGTTTTATTGTAAAGGCCACACGGTGTGTCACAGAGTGTACACTTTATTATTAAAATGATAAAAACCGAGGGAAAAAAAATAAAATGTATAGAAACCGAATAAATCATGCGCCGGCGCGGCGTGTCATATATATATATATAATATATGTGCGCATGTACGAAATTGCATAAGCCAATATATTTTCACGTCAAGCGTTTTTCTTTTTCATTTTTATCGCACGTATATAATGTATGTATAATGTAATAATATGAGTAGGTATTATTATGTTACAGGTAAGTATGCAGTAATCGTTTTCCGTTCCGAGGGTGGCGCCTATATTCTCGAGTCGCAAGTACATAAAACAATAATAGGCAATAATATGGTTATAATTATAATTATAATAGTATAATATAAAGTAGTGGTAATAATATATTAACATACGTAATTTACAATAATAATAATAATAATAATCAATGTTATATAATATAATATAATATTTGATACGTTTTACATCAATCGCATACAATGCGCGCAATCATGTTATAATAATATGCACGAAGACTAGGTATAATATAACTAAGCGGCAACGACAATATTATATTTTTTTATATACCACTACCTACGTACATATCGGAGTTGTTTTTTTAAAATCCAATGTGTATCGTGATCGAACAACATGCGCTTATGCATTAGTATAGTAATATTATATTAATGTAATCCTATCGATACGCCTATCTATAATATTATATAGGGATTATCGTCACTAGAGAGTACACGTAAAATATAATATATAATAATATAGTATTATGGTATTTAGATATTTACAGTAACACAACGAGCGTTTATTACGGAGAAGACAAAAAAACCTTAAGCGCTTAATTAATTTTATATTAATTTTTTTTTCTTTTATTATTCGAAATGTTATACCTGTCGCTGCGCAGTGGGATACGACGACGTATTTTAGCGGCAAAAGCGGAGACTGCGTCGTCGACTGCGAAGAAACAAATAATAATATGTCGACGCAACAATAATAAAGGCAATATTACTATTATTATTATTTCGGAATGACGGGCGTGTGTGTGTGTGTGTGTCGTATAATAATAATATAAACACACTGTTTTGCGCACTGCGGCGTGGACATATTATTTTACTCGCTCTCTCCGCGCGAATATTACACACAGCCGTCGCCGACAAATGGACTGTGACAAAAGCCAAATCTTGGTGTGTGTGTGTGTTTGTCTGTTCACGTATCATTCGAAAGGGATAATATACACGTCGAACGTGAGTTTTGGTTTTTATATACGCGCGCGTGTGTGTGTGTGAGTGTGTGTGTGTAAGAGAGAGAGAGTGAGAGTGTGTGTGTTTAATATGACGTATAGTACCTAGAAAAGTGTGTCAATGTTATTGGAACGCCACCATCGCGTATATAGAGTGTTATCATTATTTGTCCGAGCGGATTCGATACAGACAATATTATATTTTATATCATATAATATAGAGTAAAAGAACAGTGCAGTTGTAGGTATTATATGACGTATTTTTACGTCGTCGATTTCACGACGACAACAAGCACATAATATTATAACATTATAGTATCCATTAATATGCGGTAAAAATAAAACAAGCGGCCGGGGGGAATCGTGTGCCCCGAAAAAACCATAACGACGAGTGGACGACCCCGTGATATTATTATTATTGTTGTATCGGAGCGGTGGTGGCTGTTTATAATATTATGACGTATATTATAATATATAGAAAGATAAGACAGATAAGATCTATTATATTATTATCTCGATGACGGCTTTTTTTAGTCCTATACATAGAAGCTTTTGAATAGATCTATGAAGGCTGTATAATATAATATAGATCTAATATCATGCGACGACTGTTTGTGTATTGTGGATCGGTGGCGTTTATAGTCTGGCCGCGAACAAGGCGCCGGCGCCAGCGATGACGGTCAGGAGCTGTCCGAGGGGGAACCCGCCGGAGAGGGACGCCACTGCGCCGCTGTTGACGATCTCAGGCGAAGTCCTCACCACTATCGGTTCGGTGTATTCGCTGTTACCGGCTCGGTTCCTTGCCAGGATTTTCGTTATGTATTCGGTGTTCGGCTTGAGGTTGACTAGTGCAAAAGGACCTGAAACATCCAACGCGCGTGCCAGCGTTTCATATTATACCATTATCATACGTGGAGCGTAATAATTAATAGTGATAATGTGGTTATATTAATGTACAAAACTGCTGCCCGGGGCTCGCAGCTGGTTTCGCGCGAATAATAATAAAACATTGTGAGTTCAGTTAGCTAGTTTGTGAGGATAATTAATATTAATATTAGCAGAGGCGTGTGATTATAGTAATGAATAATTATTTATACAACAACTTTCTTTCGGCTTGTGATACTGTTATATGGGCTGTAATTGTGGCGAGGGCTGGGCAGATACCCCCCCCCCTTCCCCCGGTCGGTTACACGTACCTTCGGTAGTATTGAAGTTCATCATGTCGAAACTTTCGAAAGTATTTCCGCTGGGTTCCACGACTCTCGTCACGTACTCGACTCTGTAGCCAATCAACTCGTCCCCTTTGTCGTTGGGATCCACTTGCAGTTCGATGTAGTTGTCGCCGACACGCGCCGCCGACAGACCTTTGGGCGTTTTCGGCTTGAACCCTTCGATCAGGTTGAACCGTCTGGTGATTTTGCCCAAATTATTCGAGGCCGTGCACGTGTACGATCCCAACTTTTCCGGTCTGTTGAACGTCACCTGAAAGGGCGTACATAAACACGCGATGCGTATAACACTATATGGTATAGGGTTCACTACATTATGTATGGATAGAATATGAACCATCAAAAAAAGTTTTGAACACGAATAGCCGTGCGCACAGAGTATAATATGGACAACACTCAATGGTTCACGCATACTGAAACTATAATATGATAAAGTATTTTGTAATACGACACTGCAGAAATTAACTATTTGAGGTACCTATATACGTAAAATATACCTATAGGGACAGTTTTTGTTTTGTCACATCTTCCGCATTGTCAATACCCTCACACTCAGACTCACATTCAGTAACCGTAGAAGCTGGCCGCCAAGACATTATGGGACTGGTAAATTTTTGCCAAATTTTTTAGAAGCGAGGGACGGATAAAATATGCACATTCGTAGAAACGTAGAAAGGAGTGTGGGCAAACTGTGATGAAACCATTATTGTAAATCATTTATATATTTATCATGCCCCATGATTTGTATTTAACGCAGCACTTCACACGAACTCTTCGATTGAATCGCAAATAAAGAAGAAAGTATTTAACTATAGAAATATTATCAGTGAAACATTTTAAAATGAATGTCGTCTCAAACGTTTCCGCCCGCATGACGTTTTTTTTTAATAAGAAAAAAAATGTTAATACAAAACTTCACACAAGCTAAAGAAGTATTAAAATATTTATAATATAATACGACACAGTATTATACTATCCTGCATTTTAATAGGGTGTTGTTTTAATGTCGAATGCTAATGCAAGTCGTGTAATCGTAAATTAATATATTCCATTTAAAATCGTGAAAAGATCTTATCGTCAATGGTTGAGTCGGTCAGTTAAACTTCTAAAAACTACGACGAAGGTCGAATCGTTTAAGTAAACAAAAAACATTTATGCAACTGCAGGGCTCCTACGGGCCTTCGAAATCATTTCACATCCGGCGAGCATATTATAATTTTTTACCTCAGACGATTCTCATTTCACTCAGAAACACCACCGATACGACGTGACGAACACATTTTCGTGTGTACACTCTGGATACCACATGGTGTCTGGGTATTACGGTTTTCCCGTCACATACCGTGCAGCAGGTTCGTGGTAACAAACTATTATATGGATAGTGTAACATAATACGTACGACGTAGTTGTCGGCCGGGTTGATGAAGAATTTTCCGTTGAAACTCCACGTCATGTTTGCCGCCGGTTCGGCTGAATTCTGACACGATAAATTAACCGAGTCGGATTGGAAGACGTACAGGTCAACGGGATCGCCTTCCATGAAGTTCAAAAATACCGGTTTGTCTGTGTGGAAAAAAAATTTAATACAACCATGATTATATTGACCGAATGCACAATAAAAGTTAACATTAACTGTATAGGTGATGGTTTTTTTTTTTATTGTCATGATGGGTTTTGTTTCGAGCTGATGACAATATTACCCACATCGGTGAATCGTCAATAAAGGTAGTTGTCGATATCGGGCGACAACAGTGTGCACATTATTTATATTTTTGATTACGAGTGTGTTCAAATTTGAATCAATAAAGATATAAAACTTTAGTCGATAGAGATTATTGTTTAGAATATAAGAATAGTACTTAATACAATATTAAATAGTGGATATTATATTGTAAAGTATCATGTCCATTGCGTACAACGATATAGATAAACATAAAAACCAAATAATGAAGACACATATTTTTTACAAATTAATTTATCGAAAGAACACTTTATTTAAGTTAAGTCTATCTATTTTTAGGATCTTTGAAGTAGAGACCATATTTTTACTGTCAATTTTGGATAATATGAAACCGTCTGTTACCGATAAAATCTGATCGTGTATACCGACCAAACTCTATTCTACCTCTACTACAATAAGCCGTAAATCCAAAGGTGCAGTTATTAAAATATGCTTGATTTTTATTCTCGAAACCCGTCACCTTTTATTATTTAAAACAAAATATGAAAAATTCTAAAAACTAAACTCGAAGTCTTAAAATATTTTAAGAAAAAGTACTAATTTAATATATTTCAATTATATTGACGTTTTGAAAAGTTTCTAAAATTAATTTTTTTTTTTCATTCTGTGTTGGATATACAGTTCTATTAAAACCACGGAGTTACCTTGGGGTTATGGGTATAATATATCATATTATGGATATATAATACAATATGTGATATTGTAATGTAGTCAACTATTATAGTAAGACGATGGAGACTGCATATCTGTTTTATTTATACTTTCACGGTACGAATAATTGAAGAGCTTTTGTTTGAGTTTCAGAGTAAAATCAGAATATAGTAATGAAAACATAATTCCACTGTAACTATGATAGCGGATGGTATTTATATTATTTTGAAATGTTTCACTGTTTGCTATTAATTATTATAATTAATATTATACTATAGTGGAATTCACAGGTGATAAATTGTAATCCAGAAAAAGTCTAAAACATTTTCTCGTTATTGAGAATTACCAATAATTTGTTTTAAATTTTAATGAGTAATAACTACCTATCTCATTACTCTTCAAAAAAAGTTGATGGAAATAGAATGAAGAAAAAATTAATTTAATATCCATTAATTAATTAGGTTTTATGATATTAACCAATCAGATACGAGCTTTTAGCTCAGTTGGTATTCGTATCAGCTATTATTAATGTAATTTGTTGTAATTATTTGATTGTAATTGATTTGGCTGAGTAAAAACATTAATTAATTAATTAAAAAATAAATAAATATTTTAAATTAAATAAATATCTTGAAATGTGTAGGTATCATTTACATAATTTATTTAATCATGGACCAACATTTTTATTGAAATAACAATTTTTATTTTTCTTATAATTAATTTATATTTTATTTCTTAAAAGTATGGAGATATTTTAAATTTTTAATGATTAAAATAAACAACTTAAGTATTCTATTTTAAAAACAAAATGTTTTTCTTTGTTTTTCGAATAAATACCTCTGTAAAGGTGTCAGGTGATGAATGAAATTAGAGTTCAACATATTATTATTGTTCATATACACATCCGAGTTCTATTGTAACGTTAGACGTGCCATAACAGTCCTATTCATAGTTTACTGGCTCAATGTGGATCATCGAATCTAATCAGATCTAACCTTTAAAGTTTAAACCCACAAATAATCTATTTTTAATTGTTATTTTGAAATCTTTAGAAAAACTATAATTTTTTATAAATGTGGTATGACCTTTCTCGTCCTTAAATTTATATTACCTATTATTTTTATAAAATAAATATATGGCTGTGTTCAATTTCACCGGTTTTTGCAGTGTTTAGACATTTTTAGACCTATACGAAATTACGGAAATATCACAAGAATAACCTCACTAACGAAAATATGAATTTAAAACTTATTAAATTATAATGTAAATATTCATAAAACCATACGCATCTTTTTTCATTGCGATTTCAATGACTAGCTTCGTAATAAAAACAAATATTGTACTTTAATATAATATTGTTTCAGTAGTGAATTGTTATTTTTTTTTATTAAGAAATGTCACGAACGAGTGTACAAAATATATAGGTCAGATTCATCGAAAAAATGATTTTCTAAAATATAAATTTGACAGTGGAGTGTAATACATAAAAATAAATAATAGTATATAGTCTTTAACGTTGTTGTTAAGAGAAAGTAGTGAAGCCATATTTTATTGTAGACTTAATTTATAGGTCTCATCGATCTATATGCGATCAATAAATAGTTTTGTATGGTTCCTACCGGAGTACGATTTAATGGATCACATTTTTTTTATGCAATTATTGCAGTTTATTCATCAGACACCCTGTATTTTGTTTGACATTGAATCGAGTGCATATATACTCACGTCTGACTTTTAATTCGATTACAGTACTTCCGGAAACACTTGACTTGTTAGTCGTCTCGAAAGCTCTGCAAGTGTATTTACCCGAATCCAGGTGTGTCACGTTCCGCACAATCAGCCCGCCTTCGGTGACCGAATACTTTCCACCTGTGCGAGAGGAGAGCATAATAACGAAATTATATTATTATTATTATTATTCGATCGGGTGATATTATTGGAATCTCCACAAGTAACAATTATAGTATTCAAATAGTACTAACTTGTCGTTTTTTCTTTTAACGTCTGCCCGTTGTACGACCACATAAATGTGGGGCTCGTGGTGCCTTTCACCCTGCAACTTATGAAGTAGTCGGTGTACTCGTTAGTGATCTGTTCGACGGGCGTGTCGAATTCCAATATTTCTGTCAACAGAATCACGTGGTATAGCTTACATTTTATTTACAACATTTCATATACATAATATTCTAGAAGACGTCGTGGTGTAACGCAAAACTAAAGTAGCAATGCGACACCGCCGGGCCGTAGACCATAGAGGGGAGGGTGACCCCTTCAAATGCGACTCGGGTTCAACACTGACATAATCTTACGCTCGCTTACTTAGAGGTCATGTATTATATTTTTTGTCGTCGCTGAATGTGTGTGCGTTTGTGTGAGCTTATACCGTTTTCGAATACACATTTGTACACCTATATATATATGGTTGAAAGCTTGCACACACACACACACACACTCTCACTGGTATCGATTTTGTAAGGCGGAATGATATACGAGGTCGCGTCGCTGTTTTCATTACACGCGACATTGCTAATCCTAATTAACTCTATATTTCACCACAGTACGATATCACGTCGTCGTCGTCGTCGTCGTCGGGTATAGAAACCAATTTTTAAAGCGAATTCTTAACGTGGTGGCGGGCCGGACCGATTTCGTAGGGCGTGTACGATAATATCCTAAGGGTATTATTATTATTGTTTTTATTACCTATACATAGGCACCAATGATGTTATTATTTATTAGTCTATTACGAATGAGAAACCAAAAAACCACTGACGGTGGTGCGGGTATGACGACGTGGTTTTTATTAGGTATTTTTTTTTACGATTTTTTTTAAATTTTTTTTTTATTTTTGTACGTCACACAACACGGGACGGTATTCGAATGGTTCGTGATGAAGTCGTATAACCGAACATACAAAGTTTTCCAGGGAAAAAAAGTTAAATTATTAACGTGATTTGAAATTTCGTCCTATATAATATACTACGATATATACGTGGTGTACATAACCGTTAAATAATCGACGGCCGCTATATAATTTTAAAGTTTTAAACCTACATGAATGAGCGGCATTTTCGACTTCACTCTTTGAGGAGCATTTGATTCCCGTGCTTATAATGGGTTTAATAATACGTTTCTATATAATGTATAAAAAAAAAAAGGTTGATCATGTGGCATTTCGAGCAGAGCACACATTCAATACCGGGTCAGGTTATTCACATAGGAAGTACTATGTTTGGAAGTTCACGAGAACGGTTGATGTACTTTCGGAGTGTAAATTTCAACTAGTCGTGCCGTCAATATTGTGTACACAGTTTGTAGACTCTGAGCTGTGCTGTTGTGGTGCTATTGATTTTACAATGTTATGTTTTTTTTTTTCATATAATATATACATAAAACACTATTTGAGGTCATAAATAACGATCAGGATGAATATCTCTGGCACAATATATATGTAGATTGGTAATCGAACATGGATTGTAACCTCAATTTTTCAATTCCCCAGAAGATTTTGGAAAAAATTGTGAAAAACAGCGAAACACCTTGATCTTTTATTAAAACGAAATACTGTGCAAAAGCAAATCCCACTCACATTTGGTTTCCCAAGTCAAACCCGATCATTTTTTACGTTGAAACGAAAAAATAACCACCACAAATTTGAGTGGAAATAAGTGAGATGAGTACTATCAAAGCCCCCATATTAATGTATCCAAAGAGTTGTGAACATTTTTGATATTGGTCCGTTTGGTCGTTGCAAGAATTTCTATTTATCATTATACTTATACTATAGCTGATCATAAATAGAGGCAGTAGGTATGCTCGGATTATTCTGAGAACGCTATACAATAAGAACAACATGTGCTAACTTTTTGAAAGTTATGAAGAACGTTTTGAAGGAATGTCAGCGAGCGCGATTTTCCACAGCTCTAGAAACCATTTTTCGTACACGATGATTTATTATTGCTTTCAAATTTAATATCACAATTACACAACAACTGTCTTAGGAGAGCGTTACGAGACGCTTTCCCAACATCCACAGGCCCTATAGCTGTACCCTGACATGCTGTCCGTATTTCTTTAAATATATTTTTAGAATACTTTATATCATAATATAATATAATATTGGTAGTTACAACATTACATTTGTATTTATATAATTAGTTTAGAATCAGAATGTGTTCCTTGTTTAAATTATTATTTGTTTTCCATATATTAAAGATGAATTAGGAATGTATACATGCATTGTGTTCAAATACTTCAAATACTTAATGATACTAATCAGATATTTTATGTACACACAGTTACTAGAATATTGCTGTATTGATCAAAATTATATTAAATTCAAGTTGTGAAGGACATAATACATACTACATGGTAGGCTACAAATTAATTCATTAGCTGACTTGTAAAAATATGCAATTAAACTTTACACGTGCATACATAATATGTATTAAATTGACATCTCATCTCCTATTTACGTAGATTTTATTATAGTCGGAAAAATTATAACCGGCATATTAACGATAGATGGTGGAATTGGGGGAGGGGAGAGTCCTTGACTGATTACTTTAGAATAGTCAATTATCCAGAAGCACATTGCTCACGCATATTATGCAATAATTATTATTACTCAACCTGCAATGGTGGCTTGAAATTAAAAGCGCGCAAGAGTGGACAGTGACAGATAACGGATGGTCGATACGAGAGCATTTTTTTCTTTTATATATTATTATGACCGAAATGCAAAGGTATAGGTGAATTGAGACTGCAAATGAAAAATCACAAAAACCCTTATATTGTATAGACAGTATATGCCTACCGGGCACACGGCCGCGGTCGCCACATTGTACCAGTTTTAATATCATTATGAGATACCTATGGCAATCATCGGTAAAATATTACTCTGACTATGAAGCTATGTGATATGTGAACATGGCAAATTATTTCATTTTCCGCCCTCCCTCACCTCAATCGACGATAAAATAATATTATAACGTATACCGTGGGCACGGAATGACAGCGAGACGGTGTGGAGGTGGTGTGGTAGCGTGGAATAGCGTGTTGGAAAACTCGTCTGGAGTTATAAATTATATAAGCTGATTAAAAAAAATAAGGGAACGGTTCACCTCCTTTGATACGAGGTGAGGGGGTGACTTTCGTTTGAGCTTGTATTCCCTCGTACAGGTCCTCTATTTATTTATTTTTCCCCCGGTATCACGCGATTTTCATTTGAAACCCGATATACATATATATATATATATATTCATACGAGTATAAATCACATTTTCTTTTCGCCGACATAAACGGTTTAAAATAAATGACTACTGACATGGTCGCTTTGGCCGCGCGCGCGCGATCGCCCTGCCGCTCTTCCGTCCGACCAGTCTTAGGATTATTATTATTACTTTTATTATTATTATTATATATATATTATACAGTATACAGTGCGACTATATACACAGATAAATAGATAGGTAGGTTATAGGTATAGAAAATGACATTTCGCACCCGAATACGATTTTAGATAAGAAAAATATACCAAATAGGCTTCGCCGGGGCGGAGGTATTCTCTTTTATACACATGTATATATATATTATGTGCAGCGTTATCCATTTCTCGGGCAATATTCCTTTATATAATATTATCCTTTACTGTTCGCCAACACGCGTGTATTCTTCTCTTATATATATTTTTTTTTTTTTTTTGTCACTGGCGCGCTGTCTTTTCCAGTTTATTTATATTTGAGTTTTTTTTTTTCAGTCCGCGACGTGAAAACAAACTTAAGTAAAGGAGCCGTATCACACGGTAGAAAACTTTTCAAACTTTTTATATACCTACTTAAAAGGAATATACTACGTAAACACAAATATATATATATATGTATACGGTAAGTGAGTAGGTATATGTAAATTTGAATAATCTCGAGGAGAAAAACTTTAACGCATATATATATATCGCGTATAATATCCCACCGGTCGCCTCCGCCTCCTCTTCTTTAATTTTACACAGAAACTGTTACTTTTCATCCGCGCCCGTACTCGATAAAATAAAAAAAAATTATTCTCAAAAACTATATTTATAATAATAATAATACGTTATACTGTATAGGTACTAGTAATTTTTTTACCGCAGTTGGGCAACCGAAATGATGATAGTATAATATTATATTATGATCACTGCCCGGTCATCACTATACGGGCGACCGGGGTCAAGGACGATGACAAACTGCAGCAAACTCATATAGTACATATATATTATGGGACATCGACAGTCGCAGGATTTCGTTATAAATTATTATTTTTCCGTCCGTGTCTGTTTTGGATTTAAAATTGAATTCGAAATTGAAATTAAACGTTTTCGCTCGTCGTAGCGCTCACAGTGTTTATATATTATACTTATATATTTGTCCTATATATCGACCGACCACGTATCTCCCCGGCAATGCGTTGTGTCGGGTGGGTGGGTGGATGATGGGTGTAGTAAGGGTGCGGGTCTACCATGACGTGAATTTTTTTTTTCGCACGCCATAATATAATATAATATATATTTAACCTCTGATATGTATTAACATTTTACATGACGTATATTATTGTGTTTCCGTGTAACGCACGACGTTACAGAAAAAAAAAGGGGGGAAATCGCGTGGATTTAATATACGTGTATTTTTCGATATATTTTAATAGGCACCAGGCACAGTGTTTACAGCTATAAAGGCGTGGAGACTTTTAAATGTCTATCTCGAAACGTACAAGTCCCCAGGCCAAACCATGTTAAATAATTACTATATTATAATCGCCGAATCGGTATAATACTCGCATCAATTAACAGTAGGCATTATTATTATTTTTTATTCCGGATATTATGCATATACCTATATTGTACATATTGGTAATATTACTATTTAAGCCATATCAATTTAATTCACATGCTCGTCAATTATTTATGTCACGTCCGATTAAATAAATGTCATGATTCCGTGAATAACCGTTTGGTGAATAATTTACCAAACGGTTTTAATTAAAATAACCAAACTATATTCATTAATGTAACAACGTCCAATTTCTTTTTAAAATTTTTTAAATAAAGAACTATCATTAAACTCAATTGATATCGTGAATCGTTTTA